GTGACAGAAGACACATTAAAGAGAAAAAAATTAAAAGTGACAGGGCAGAGGGTTAGGGATAGGGAATCAAGGATGGCAAAAAAAAAAAAAAAAAAAAAAAAAACACAAAAAAGAAAAAAAAAAAAAAAAAAAAAAAACTCAAAATATACAAGACATAAGAAATGAAAAATTGTTTGTTGATAACACATATGTTGATGTGCTTGATTGAGCCAATAGACAGTGTATTTTGGATGAAAAATTCATTTTGTGTACTGTAATGATGTATAGCATATTAATGTTAAAAATAAAAATAAATTAATAAAAAAAAAGTCACAGAATAGCAAGAGTTGGCAAAAATAAATAAATAAATAAAGAGATGTGGACCAGACTTAGATGTTAGAACCCTGGTTCAGAACTCGGGGAAGCAGAGAAAGTGCCGGAAAGCCAATGGCTGACACACTAGGAGATTCCCAAAGCCAATGCCAAAGGGAAATATGCCACAAGTAAAAAACCCCCTTGATGACCTGGCTGTGGTACTGCAGGCAAGAGGGTCACTGCTGGGTGATGCTGGAGCCAGATGGGACCCACTGGTTCCGGTCCCACTGTCTGCATGAACATGCTGGTTTAGGGCACCCACGGGAAAGCCCAAGGTTCTGTCTGAATGCAGGGTTGGAAAAAGGATCAGAACATGAAGAGCCCGATGATGGCCCTGGCTTACTTACTATCTATCTCTCTCTCTTACATAGAGAAAATAAATAAATAAATAAATAAACAAACAAACAAACAAACAAACTTAAAATGAAAACCTTCTTGGCCAGCTTCTGAGGCATTCTGTATGGCACCGCTGGAAGACACATGCCAACCCCAGTTCTAGTCCCTGAAAAACATGTCACATGTGCTCATCCATGCCCAGAACTCTGGTGGGCTGGTGGACTAGAGGAAGTAGAAGAGGTGTGACCACACCCTGTAGAGGGTGCTCCTCTTTGTCTCCCTCTTTCTGCCTCTGAGATTCAAAACCCTTGCACCTCATCCAACACTGGGGTATTTACTATGGTTCACCATTGTGTTGCAGAGCTGGAACAAAGCTCAGGTCCTGGGATGAGATTCAAATATTGCTGACCACGTGCATGGTAAAAATAGTTATTTCTAAACACTACAAACACACCAAGATGCACATATGTTGAAGACACTCAAGAGATAAAGAGAGAAGAGCTGACCTGCCTCCCCCATCTCACCATGGCTGAGAGTCCAAAGCTCACTGAATGGAAAAGAAAGAAAGAGGAAAGACCCATCAATCAGCCACTGTCCGCTCCTCCCCATTGGTCTGCTGATCTTCCACTCCCCATCCCTGTGTGCCCCTGTCCCTGGTCCTCTGCCTTGTTCTCTGACTCAAGCTATTTGTAGTTCCCATTCTTTGCCACCATCTCCTCTTCCTTTCCCATCTCGTCAAGAACCGTATCATGTAAATTAAGTGAGCTAACAAAGCAATCTCACCCATCAAACTGGAAATGGCGAAGGTGGAACACAAGCAGGGAGAATGTAGAGGAAATCCTGCCCGTGCTGATGGCCAGGCTACATCAGCAGTCTGCTGTCTCCCCCAACCCTCCCACATTCTCCCCCTGCTTCCAGGACTCTTCTTGGCTGGGGACCACGTTCTTTTCCAACTTCTCTTACATAACCACTTCACCTTGCCCAGTCTGAACTCTCCTGCTGGCTGACCTTATTATTCAAGCTTACCAGGAAGTGGTCAAGGTCCGTCTGAACTTATAGACTGTTCACATCTGCCGGGCTCCGGTTAGCAGGTCACACAACTCCCAGTGACACTCTCCTCTCTAGACCTTTTTATTTATTTTTCCCCCAGTCTCTCTTTACCTCTTTCACGGGCAAGAGAGACAGAGCTGAACCAGGAACCACACCAACTGGCACGTTCTCCAGCTGTGCCAGTACTGCCCCCTTCCACACCCCAGCCTTTAAAGGAACATGTCCCTCCATTCTCCCAGAGCAAACTTTAGAATGTGTAAGACCATTTTCATCTTTTCGCAATGTGATAATATTTTCTCTCCAATATCACCATTATTAGTGATTGGGGAGTTTAACCCAAAATTGTTCATATTTTGCTTGAATTATCTTTGATATGGAAATCCTATTAATACTACTATGTTTTACCTTTACGGGAAGCAAATATTCTTCTATCTAGAGTCAGTACTTTTCTAACTGGCTGAGATTACCCCCAGGCAATGGAATGTGAGGCAGGAAACAATGCCACAAGACAGAGCGAGCAGGACACACTTTCCTAGACAGACAAGTTTCCCCTTGGAAGAAAACAGGACATTTCAAATTAAAACGAGCCTTAATACATCATGCAGTAAAATGAACAATTAAATCTAGTTGTTTTTAAATAAAAACTCAAGACTTAAAGAAAAGTCCTGCTTGTAGCTAACTCTTGGGATATGTCCACAACATTGGGAGCTTTCTGCAAATAGCCCTCTTGCCTTGAAATGTGCTTTGATGAAATTGTCAAGAAATGGTTCACCCACATGATGAACTTCCTGAGGGCATGAACTACATCTCCTTCTGTGTCATCAGGGACCCAGGACAGTACCTAAGACAGTATTTGGCACAGAACAGGCACAAAGTGTGAAATTAAGATGACTGGAATGATGGCAATGGCATTAGCAATACCAAAAATTTTTATCCTATATGGACAGAAGGAAGGAGAGAGGGACAGTTGTATGAGGAAGTGGAGTAGAAGTAATCCAATTTATCAAAACAGCTAATGGGTGCCATGGTAACAATCAGGCGAAGCATCTCTGTCTAGTTCTTTTCTACTTAAACAAGTGCAGGAAGGCAAATATTGTACTTGTTAATCTTACTTCAGAAAGAGGTGGAGCTTAGAACACAAGCCTACCAGGTGACACCAGGGTGCATTAACCAACCGTAGCAACCACTGAAGAATTCGGAAAAGCATCTCAATAACAATCATGCCAACAATAACATAAAGTCCTGGTTTGTACATTGATTCTAGAAAAGGTCACCTTAATCATTTAAAACTGTCAAACATTTGCTGCTTAGACTTGACAACTGTGAAAAGTAGATTCATATGTGTCTATATATACCAGGAGATCTTTACAAAGGTCATGGGAAATTATGAAAAAAATTATGCATGGATTCCAAAATTTTTACACCAAAATAAACTTGTACTTTAATTCTATTTTCCATTAACTTTTTGAAATACCCTTGTGTGTATGTGTGTATTTTACATACCTATGTGTGTATATATAATCGAATATAGCCTAATGTCTATATAAGCATATATGCCTATGTATTATATAATATATAAAATGCCTAGCACATATATATGTATACATCTATAAAATCTTGTAGGACATGGACTTATCCTGCCTTTTTAAAGTATTATTTTTAGCGGGACCCAAACTAAGTTACATATAAAACATCGACTCAAAGGAAGAGTAGTTTATAGCAATGCTTAAAAGTTTGTTTCCTTGATGGAGACACTGCATTTTAACTGAGTTATAAATAAAAGATCAGTATCACACCCACGTTCTCCGAACAGTCCCTTCTGCACTGTCATGAGTCACTGTCCATGTCTAGTATAACTGACTCCCCAAACTGGAAGAAGCTGGGAGGGGCAGGAAGTGCGGACTCCCAGCCCCGCAGGTCTAAGCTATAAGCTGATGGCCAGCACCTCCTAGGGCTACTTCTAAGAGGTTTTTGCTTTAGGGCACGTGTGTTCGCCAGACAGACAGAGAGAGAGACAGAGAGATAGAAAGTGAGAAATCACCCCCCAGGGGGGATGGTCACACCACAATCCCTTCTCCTCCATTCTCCTCTCAGGATCTTGGGCACGCATGCACACGTGTCCAGCATGAGTTTTAAGCCACCGGGTCCGGGACGTGAACCGTGGAGTCCAGCATGGGAGTCCAGCAACATAGCCATTATGCTAACTGCTGGTCCCGGGCTATTTCTTTTCTAAGTCTCAGATACGCTAACACCAACCAAAAGGAAGCTTTCCAGGTCTTAATAGTGACAGCAGAGTTCAGGATGATTTCAGCTCAAATCCAAGCAAAAAAACATTTCCAGCACTAAAATGTGTGTATTGAGGGAGGAAAAAGAGACAACAGCTGAAGACACACCAAAGTCTATAGACACTGCCAACGAAGCTCAATGAAAATCTGAGCATCTCTGCCTCCCGGAAACCCCACTGCTGCCATGCTCCTGCCTGCTGAGAATTAAGTCAATAACTTGATATTACTGTGCGCTGTTTGAGAGCCACAGGGTGAGAGATTCTGCTGTACGATGTCATCATTTTATTCTGTATAAAAAGTAAGTTTTCACTTCCCAAGATCTGGAATCTAATCCCTGCTCTTTAGTGAGGCTTCACGTGCCTCTGCCTATATGTCTGGGTCTGTTTCTCCATCAGATAAGCAAGCCTACTTCCCAGGCATGTTTGCAAATTAAATGAGGGAACGCTGAAAAATGCTTAGAACACAGGAACCGATGAGTACGTGTGTCCAGCAAAGTAAACGGCCGACAGTCTCCTTTCCTATGCAGTCTTAGGAAAACAACAAATTCGAAAGCCATTACAAAATCAAGGATGCCAAATTATTAGACTTTCTGTGTCCTGGCCCCAGGGTACACCCAGAGACCCCAGCAGGTGACCTAAGGGGCCTCGGTGAGTCCTGGGAGCCCGCCCAAGTCGGCCCCAGGCGCGGAAGCTGCGGATCTCACCACAGCGGGTGACACTAAGAAGGCCCCCTTTGCGGATCTCAGATTCGCGCAAGTGAAACTTTTCTCCTCAAAACAACTCCTCAAAATGCATTCTCTGAAATGTATCCCCTTTTCTTGACACTAGGGGATCTCGTCTTGGAAAAGTCCAAAGTAAATCGGTGAATGGAGAAGGGTAGGATCCGCTGGAGACACAGCACGCAAGAGGGACAGAGGGCGGCGGGTCAACGAGTCAGGAAACGCCATCCCTCCCGCCCCGGAACCCACATACGCACCTGGGGATGAACTTGGCTTCGTCCCCAAGTCGCTCCTGGAAGTCCTGCCAAGCCCGGCCAGGGCTCGCTGGATCCCACAGGCCGGTCACCGTCGCCACCGCGTCCTCGTCCTCCTCGCTGTCACCGGGCTCCTGCCCCGCCTCGGTGGTGACTGGCGTGTACTCCCGCGGCCCCAAACCCTGGTGCGACCCCCCAGACCAGGCCCCCCGGAAGCCGCGTGCAAACTCCTGGAAGGTGATGGCGCCGTCACAGTTGGCGTCCAGCCGCTGGAACACGGCCTCGGCCTCGGCCGGCCGCACGCGCAGCTCTGCGCAAAGCGCGCGGAACTCCTCGCGCTCCAGGCGGCCCGAGCGGTTCGCGTCGCAGGCGGCGAAGATGGAGCGCAGCCGGGCC